TCTACCAGAGGTGGGGTTTCATGCCCCGACCTCAACCTTTTTTTTTCAGACTCTTGCTGACCGGCTCACTCTCGCAAGCGAGGCCACAGCTTATTGGGCTATACTTGTAGACGTTGTCTGTAAAAGTAAAAATTTTTCAGTGCCCCAGGAAACGATAAACGTCTGCAAAAGCAGTTCCATTCAGAATGCAGGTAACAGGGGAAGTAACATTTCTTCGGTGTGGCATTTGAAAGCAGCAAGACCCACTTTTTCCACTGCCTGTGTTCTATAACCCCTTGTCCAGGAAGATGCCTACCTCAAATGCCCAAAGACAGTAGCCTGATGGATAAACAGTTAATTTAGTCTTTATTTTATCTTAGGGTTTAGCTTCACCCTCCTGCCTGTTCAGGTGGGCTGAGTTTTGCCCTGCTTTCTTCCTCGCCACCCACGCTTTCTCCCCACTCGCTAACCTTGGCTGGTAATTATTTTTCTGAGAATTACAGGTATATAAATTCTGAAAAGCCCCATCGAGGCTTTGCGCCCGTCGCCATAGTGACAGCTGGTCCACGAAGGCTGAGCAAGGGGATGAGCGCCGTCCATGCCAGCCGGCGAGGGACTGGCGGCTCCGTTTGGGTGGAAGGCCAACGTCTTATGGCTCTGTGTTCATTAAAAGGGAAGCTTAAAAGGTGACCGGCTCCTTGGGAGGCCATCCCTCTGCCAAAGTGGCCAGGCGGCTCCCAAAGACCCGTGACCAAGCCACAGAAATAGAGGGCTGAGCTTGCATCCATAGGCCGCCAAAATGGCCTTATCCACACCCCACAGGCTTAGGAATTAGCAGGAAGGGAGAAACCCTAGATTTTAAGTCACCCGCAACTCACGGCCACCCTATGAATGAGCCGACTCCAAAATCTCCTGTCCTCAACGGCTCTCTTCAGCTCTTATACACGCAACCCCTATGGCTTCCTTTAGGGAACTGGTCCATCTCATATCTTCTTCCTCTTTTCCTGCTGCCTGCTACCTTTCCCAGCATTATTCCCTCTTCAAGGGACTTCTGCCTTCTCAGGATGGGTCCAAAGTAGGAGAGCATCGGTTTCAACATTTTGTATCTCCTAAATGAGAGAGTTCAGGCTCGATTGGATCTCAGACGCCCCTCTTGTTCAAATTTCTGGCCATCCGGGGTCTCTATGAAACTGTCCCCCCAGCAAGACATTTCAATTATCGTGAAAGCTGGACAGTAAAGAAAGCTAACAGGACAAAAACTGGATGTAAAAAGGTTTCATGGGGTGATGAGGCCTCAAAACAGGCCCAAAGAGACACAAGGAATCCTAACAAAATTTGGGGTGGAAAGTAATTCCCAGCCTGGCCTTGGTCTGGAGAATAAGACAAGGAGCATATTTCACCTCTCTTATGGTGAACACAAACCCGGCCGCGTGGCAGGTGTCATTTGAACATCGATGTTCAATGCTTGGGAACAAATGTTGTGGAAGGCAGCCGTGATTCAGCATTGAAGTCCTTTACGTGACATTTCAAATCATTGTTGCTGAGTTTGGGATGTCTGGATATATTCCCCTAACTTTGCAGGAGACCTGCAGGGATTCACAGAGCAATATCGTTTCCTGTTCACCAGAGTAAGCCAGCCCTTTTTCTCATTTACTGGCCCTTACAGTCTGAGTAACTCACTCTGAGACATTAGTAAGAGAAAGAATAAAAGATTTCATTACTTATAACTGAACAGATCGAACAGCAAGGTAATACACATGACCGCTTTCAGCAACAGACTTCAATAGACTCACGGACTGCTTCCAACAGACTACCGAGAGGGGGAAAGGACACAAAGCAGAGAGGCGGGACTCTCTTTGAATTCAGAGGCAGGGAGAGAATCATTGGCTAGTGCTGGAGAGATGGACAGTCGCCCCAGCCCAGAAAGGTCCCTTCCAGCCAAACCTATTAAAGGCAGCATGCAGCCTCTCTTTGAATTCAGAGGCCGGGAGAGAATCATTGGCTAGTGCTGGAGAGATGGACAGTTGCCCCAGCCCAGAAAGGTCCCTTCCAGCCAAACCTATTAAAGGCAGCATGCAAAGTTGCTAAACAAAACAAAACAAAACAAAAAACTACAACAATTATGATATCTGTGTTCACCAGAGCTTGGAAGCGTAACTGTTTGGACTCCTGTTGGTGGATTTATAAACCTGTGCGAGTGTGTGTTTCACGTACACGCAGCCACCCTGAATTAACAATGGCACCCAGTTGTGACAAGGGACCTGCTTCCCCTATTCAGGAGCTTATTTTTGCCAAAGTATGCAGCAAAAGGCTCTTCATGCGTAGAGGGTGGATAGTTTCTGCCCACCACTTTTTATTTATCTGCTTTAAAAAGACTCGGCTGTTTTCAACGCTTCAGCTCCCCTGGGTTGTGAATGGAAAGATTTGATGGGTGGGTGGGTGTGCTGCTGTTGTGTGCCGTGAAAATGGTCGGGGGCCGTCTTTCAACCTGCCCTCCCCTCTTCTGTCCCCTTAGGGGGCAATTCTGGGTACAGGATGGAGGATGTCAACGATGACACTATTGGAGTCCTGGTGCGTCTGATCACAGAGAAGAAAGGTAGGCCCTTTTTCCAGGGGAGGGGTCCCTATTTATCTACTTGCATTTACATGCTTTCAAACTGCTAGGGTGGCAGGAGCTGGGACGAGCTCCATCCTTTGTCATGGGTCACCCTCTTGATCTGAGAAATGTTTATCATCTTGGGATAAATTGACGTTTCAGACGCTGCTGGCTTTTTTTTCTTTCTTTTTTTTTGCCGCTGTGGGTGCAAAATCCCACGATTCCACCCCACACACTGGAACTGGGAATAGGTAGATTTTAAAAAAAATGCAGAAATCATTTTGTTCTGTTGTTACAGAAACACTGAGCCACGTGAACCTCTCGTCTTGGGGGTGGTGGTGGTACAATTCAGACACAGCCTTGCTACCTTGTGAGAACTCTTAGGATGGCGAATTGTAAAGCAGGGGTATGGGGATGTGACCCTCTTCCTCCTTGTTCTTCTAATGCGCTTTTTCTCTTCCCCCCCCCTTTTCTTATCTCGCGTCTCGTGCTCCATTTGCTGGCAACAGAGAATGCAGCTGTTTTGGAAGAAATGCTGAAGGACTATCACAGCAAACAGGTGGCGCAGCCCGTCTTCAAGCCTATTAACAAGTAGGACAAAATGTTGACTTGTCTTTTCTTTTGCTCATTATTTTGACTTTTCTTTTGCTCATTATCTGGATCTCCTTCATACCTCCATTCCTCCCCTTCACAAAATCCCCTTCTTTGGCTTTTCCAGCGCCTCGCGCCTTGACACAGGGAAAAGTGGCTTTTCCCCCCTCTTAAAATGGGGTCAGTTATGCACCACCCACCCATGGACCGGATGCCTGTCCTAAGAGCCAGTGCCTCCTCAGTGTCCTCCAGCGCCGGAGGCCCTGGGCGGCTGCCTTTTATTGTCTTGTATTTGATATTCAGCCAGACGGGCGGGATAAGAAAATGAAATTCATTCATTCATTCATGAAATATTTTATTTTCATGGCTGGAAAGAAAGGCAACCAAGAGCATGGGTCTTGTCTGGAAGGAGAAACGCACACCCTGAATCCCACAGGAAGCGTGATCCTCTGAAACGAGGCATCTGCGCTGCATTTTAAAGGGGGTGTGTAGCGGAAATAAAAATAAACCTTTTTTGAAGCAAATTTCAAAAGTTTTTGCCTCCCAAATGCAGTCCTCCAAAGTCCTTTGGCCCCAAAGCACCCCCAAAAATGTTTTAGTTTTGCAAAGAAAGGTCCAGAAATGTTCCACTTCTACGTCCCTTCCAGGGGAGCAGGAGGTGGCTTTTGCTCTTTGATTTTAAAATGGCGTCCCTTCCAGCCATTTCTAGGTGTGGCGCGATTTGCACCTGGGTCTGAAGGCAAGAATTTCACCTCCACCGAATTGCAATTCCCCTCCTCTTAACTTTCATGATCATGTTCACCCCTCCTCTAATTCTGTCTGCACCTCCCGGGGTGTCCGTCAACAGGACGGCAGACCAGAACTTAGGAGCCCTGAGTTCGATTCCCCAGTTCTGCCATGAAAACTCACTGGGACAGGGTGGAGGGGGGGGGAGTTGGACTGGTAAAACCACTCCTCAAATATTTCACTTACCTTGAAAACCCTCTTAAAGTCACTGTATGCAAATGTAGCATGACAGCATATAACAAAACAAAAGGTCTTATAAAAGTCAAATGCAGGTAGAATGGCATAATGAAAAAGATGACTAACACTATACAGTCAGTATACACAAACTGCTTCCCTTACATATAAAAATTTAAACAGAAAGTCCTCCCACGGAGGCCCCTCCCGCCGTCACCGTCACGCCGGCCGGCACCGCCAGCAAACTCACAAAACCAGGAAGCAAAGCCAGCCGGCCGGGAGAGATCACCATCCTCTCCGTAGGCAGGTAAGCCGGGTCACGTGTCCTTCTGGACGTTTGGGCTCCCCTCCCGCCGTCACCGTCACGCCGGCCGGCACCGCCAGCAAACTCACAAAACCAGGAAGCAAAGCCAGCCGGCCGGGAGAGATCACCATCCTCTCCGTAGGCAGGTAAGCCGGGTCACGTGTCCTTCTGGACGTTTGGGCTCACACAACGCACAACTCAGAAAGCGATGATCACCAAAACGACCATGTTCTTTTTTTTTTACAAACTCAGGTTTCTAGTCCTTAAGATCATGCAGATAGATTTGAAAGTGAACAGGCAGTGCCAAGTGGGAAAAAAGCTAGGTGGAGGAAGAAGGGGGTTAAGGTGGCCATCTTTTTTTCTGTTCTAGTTTCCCTAAAAATTGGGGAACCCAAATTAGAGTCCTTCCAGCCAGAGAAAGGTCCCCCATAAAGTGTATTAGTCGGAAGCCACCGTAGCTTTAAGAGTCAGAAGTGGGCATCTTGAATGATGCCTGGAAATTAGCCATCGGCCAGTATCGTTGATCCGTGTCCCCTTAATTGTGCTGTTTGGCTTTGCTCGGGGTGGAAACGGATGAGAGGGCAGCTTCAGAATTAGAAATGGAGCTGCCTCAAAAAGAAAAAAAACATTTGATGATTGTCCAGTGAGATTTTAGAGGGCCATGAGTTGCAAATGAGCAGTCTGGTTATTTCATGATCGGTGGTCACAGGGATGTAAACGACCGGTTAGGTCTGCCTGTTGATAAGAAGGTGGAAGCCCTGAAGTCCTCCACCTTCTTATTTTTATTTTTGTTTGTTTGTTTGTTTGTTTGTTTGTTTGTTTTGGCTTTGCTTATGCTAGGTTGTAACACTAGATGTTGCAGTCGAAAAGGTAAACATTCCCCCTCTTCAGTCTCATCAGTGCATTGTGTTTGGGTTTTGTTGGGACAGGTTCCGCGTCGCTCGGATCCCCGAACAGAGGTCCAATTCCTCGGATGTGAAAACCATTTCGGAGGGTGTGGGGGCTGAACCCACGGAGCCCCCCTACGCCTGCCTGGCCCCTGAGCAGAAGCCGCTTGGCAGCAACGGAGTGAAGCCGAAATGGTTGACAACGGCGGAGGGACAGCAAGAGGTGGGTGCTTTCGGTGGCTCGGTCACCTTCCGTCCCATCCGGTCTCTCAACTATCCGATCGTCTTTTGTGGGGCCTTAAAGAAAGACTAGGAAGCTTAAATGCT